TTAGGTAAAGTTCTACTTCCCTCTCTTATGTTTGCTTTCTTCTAGCAGCCTAAGTCCTAAGACTTCAAAAGAATCATTACCTTCAAAGGAAATAAATCTCTTTTCTATTTCGGGGTCTTAGCATTTGCTGTACTTTTGCTTAAATCACTCTTCTCTCATAGCTCCTTATGGGTGCCTCCGCCTAATCCTTCAGGTCTCAACTCAAATGCCACATGCCCAGGGCTTCCTTGACTCGCTGGCTGGACTGAGCCTCTTCCTGTCACTCTCCATCCCACTACTCTCTTCTATCTTCTTTCTAGCTTTTATTGAACTTCAAATAATTTGTGTGTATATAAGTACTGACGACCCTATTTACTTACATGCTTACTGTCTGTTTCCTCCCACTGCCCACAGGATCCTGGGGGCAGAAACTCTGTATCTCCAGGGTTTTGGTTGGTCTGTCTCACCGTAGGCACTTAAATAACAATACTGAGGCTCTTACAGCTCCTAATTTCCAGTAGGACAATTTTGAAAGGAAGAAACTGATGTAAACTGATTCTGCTGTGAGGATCCCCACCATGACCTTGACTGTCCTTGGCTCTATTACAGTCCTGGCTGAAGTGGATGCTCCGAACAGTCACCTGTTTTTACCTGACTGTGCAATTAAAGATGGGATCTCACACATTTCATCCAGAAAGTGAATGGGGTCCTCCTTCACCCCCTAGCTGTCCTTCAAAATTCAGTGTAGGCAACTGAGGTTGACTTTCCTACCATGATTTCGTTTCAACAACTGCTAGATTTTAGGGAAGCACAATTAGAATCTGAAAAGGCCCTGGCCGGGTAGCTCAATTGGTTAGAGTCCTCCGGACAGGCCCAGGGTGCAGGTTCTGTCTCTGGTCAGGGCGCACAGAGGAAGCAACAGACCAATGTAGGACTATGTGGAACAAGTTGATGTCTCCCTCTCCCTCTCTCTCTCTCAAATCAATTTTTAAAAAATCTGCAAAAGTTGTTATAATTGAGATATGATCTTACTCAGCTCCTTGATTCTACTCCTATTTCTTGTCTTCTTTTCCATCCTCTTATATTTTACATAATTATTTATAATGCAAATCCATGATTCATGTAGCGTTTTAATCTCAGTGGAAATGGAACTGCACCCTTGAAGTTGATTCAAACTGCAGAGACACACGGTTAAGTAACTGGCCTGATAAAGTTGCTTCTTTTATTTTAGAAAGTTTTTACAATGGTTATTAGCTTATTTCAACTTATAAAATAAACTAGCTTGTTACTAAAGCAAAATAATTTTTGAATAACTTTCAAATGTCTCAATTTTTTTATTTTTGCATTTTGAAAATGTACCTTCTATTAAAGGCACAATTTTTTATGCTTGTAACAATATGCAGTGAAATATTTCTACCTTGGATGAAGGGAATGGATCACAGCCAGAGGTGTGTGTACATGTGCACACTGACAACTGGGCATTTGTACAGGTCCAGCAAGTTCACTTGTTGCCTGATATGTTCATGATAATAGCAACAATAATAATAACAATAAGGGCAGTAAGTATTTGAGTAATTAATCCCTTGTCCAGGAAGAGTGCCTTATAAAAGTTATCTAATTTAATCCTCACATCTTCTTAATTTTAGGCAATATTATCACCATTTTACAGATGGAAAAACTGAGCCTTCAGCCAGGAAGCAGCAAGAGCTGAAATTCATACTCAGGCTACTTGTTTCTCACACACCATTTTTGGAGCCTTGTAATTGGACATCTTGCCAATAACCTACTTAATGGCCTTCAAAAAAAAAAAATGTCCATCCATTCATAACCTAACAAACCAGATTTGAGGTGGGAGAGCCTAATTTATTTAGACAATCACATCTTGTTAACAAGTGTTTGATAATATTATCCATCCTGCTTAATTATGCCCTCTGAAAATATCTATTCTCCTCAGTGGGGTGAAATTAGGAAAGGAGGCTGAGCAAGTGAGCAAGAAAATGAAATTAGGCAATCCCTATATATTCTTAGGAAAGAGTCAATTCAACAAATGCACCATCTAGCCATAGAAATATAAGGTGCTCTGTAAAATATGCACAGGGATAAGATACTTGTCCTATCCTCAAATAATTCTTTACCACTTATCTGGAAGAGACAGATACATACACAATTAGTGATGGAAAAGGTAGAATCATTAGCACTATTATTACTGAGTAATTTTGTTATGTCCTAGGTGCTGTGCTAAATATATGTGAACTCACATGAACTCCAATTCTTATCCCCATTTTATAGATGTCAAAGCAAAGGGTAAGAGACTTGTTCAATATCACACAATTAGTAAGCAGGGAAACCTTATTCAATGCAAAATGAGCTTTATAGCACAGCTCTGGTCCCATGCGGCAGTGCTCCCTTGCCTTAGGAGAGACTGTGACAAGTGCTATAAAAAGGTAGAGATTGAATTCCAAGCATATGAAACAAAATTGTAACATAAGAACCATTCTCAACCAAAAATAAGTGATCCTGAGATTATCTATAAGTCTTCCACACTTAGCTAGACTGAAAATTTGACTAAAAATTGACTAAAAACGACTCGGTATTCCAAAAACATTATAAGCATGGACCATGTAGATCTGATTCTCATGTAAGAGGCTCTAGTGGCCCTGGATGCTTATAACCTACAATGTCAGGGGAAGTCCTTGTACACTGGAGAGTCACTGAGCTAAGGAAGAGGTGAGAATTTCCATGGAAGGTGACCTTAACCTATCCAATTAGCCACTTGCCATTTTCCAAGAGCACTTGACTTCTCAAAAACAAAACTAAGGTTCAAATTTCCCTAGCACCTACCATTCCTTAAAGCTGGGGTTGCAAAACAGCTGCCTCCAACCCCTAGAGGTTTTGTAGACCTACATAACATTTTACAAATCAGTATTTACGGACTTAAAGAAAGTTTGCCATTTTTAATCCCACTCTCTACCTGTTAATTTATACCTGGCCCACTTTGAGTTTTAAGCCCAATTTCTGTACATTTGAGTTAATGAACTCCGCTTTAATGTCTCTCCAAGTAAAATTTAAACATGAATAAAATGCTCTTCCTAAAACATTGGTAGAGCCATAAATGACCTTCTATCCCTGTGGAGCAAGACTCGAATGGAAGACTTTTATCAAAACGTCCCTTAGATCTGGAGTCTACACATACCTGAAGGTTAAACTCATCCTACCTCTTGGAATTCAGCCACCAAAGCACTTCAATCCTAATTGATCATATTTTGTGCAAGAAGCCTGTTAGGAGTGGAAAGAGAGCCTGGAGCTATTCTCAATGAATGCTAGACCAAGTGGCCAATAATGAAACACACACAAAAAGTTATAATTATCATCATTTTTAAAAAACACAATTGAATGTACTTACTGGTAGAAGTGAATGTGTGAGTGGAGTGATGCCCAATAGTTTACATTCAAACCACAGAGACTGCACAACATTCCACTTACCATTGGCTAGGAGATGAGTGATGAACCTCCACCACACTGCAAAACACCACAAACAGCACTCACCCTTCCCTAAATTCATATATGTGCTGCCTTTTCAATAAAAAGACGTTATTTTGCCTTAAAGACATTGTATTATAGTTGGGGTGTTTTCTAACTGACTTATGGACCATTCGACTTAGTCACAACCAAAGCTTCACAAAAAAAGTATATTCACTCACACTAATAGCACTTGGAAAAGGAGAAATAAGGCGCTTCATTAAGACCACTCATCACCATTCCAACATGCCAAGCCTGTGTTTTCCATGAACAATTGAGAACACATGCATCACTGAGCACATGAAAAGGCAAAGAAATCTAGAAACCAAAAGCTCACCCTTTAATTTTAATGCCGAGCAGCATTGCATGAGTTTGCAATAATGTGAATCATGCTCGGTGGATTATTTTCAAATTAAAACTGGAACCAGAGTCACCGCATGCTATTTTCTCCATTTACAATGTTCCGATGTAGAATTTTCATTTACTAGTTCATGACTCTCAATAATGTAAAAACAGAAAAACCATTAGTTTACAAAAAGCAAGATTTGCTTCTATTCTAAATTTAACTCATAAGAGGAAAAAAACCACAACAAATGCATTCCATTTATAGCACTGTGGTCTATTTTGGCATCCACGTTTTGAAAAGCGATAGAAACAAACTGAAGGAGAGTTAAAAATGTTGTTGAGAGAACAAAAGACAGTATGCTCTGCATAGTTAAAGGATGCGGGAATAGTTGAGATAATATACAGGCAAAATTATTCTGCTGTCTCCGTGGGCTTGACGGACAGCACCCAGGACTTCAGTCTTAATACGCATTATTCTCAGTTGTTACTCCTTTTTAATTGTTATCTCTATCAAACTAAAAGCTCAAGGGGAAGGTTAAGAACCCTGTTTTTGTATCTACTACACCTATGAGAGTGTCCAACAACAAGCAGGGACTTTATATGATTTTATGACCTGAAAGGACTGTGACTGTGTGTGCGGTCCAACAAGTAGAATTAACTGCAATGTCAATTTTGGCTCAATAAGAGGTTAAACACTCTCTCACAGTCAGAAGCATTAGGATGTTTAAGATGCTGGCTAACTCTGAGGCTCTATGATGATCACATAGACCCTTCCCAAATTTGGGGGATAATTTAAACTAACATCCTCGGGACTCTTTTCTGTGACTGGAAATACATAGACAATTTTTCAGATCAGAGTTTCGACGCTCACTCACCTTCTACTTGGCTGGATGGTGTCTGCTTTACTATAAACAATTTTACTTTTTCTATTTGCTATGTTTCCTTTCAAAATGTCTGGGCCCAAGAGGTGACTTAATATATTCAAAATGGTATTCCTTACTAAGAAAATGCTCTAGCATTTTGGCCCTAGGTAGGAACAAAGTGTGCCAAAGGGAATGAATACACCTTCGCACCACAGTATTTAATCACAGAAAACGATCTCTGTACTTCATGAAGACAGTGTCTTCTTTTAATCACAGTGTGGGTAAGCTACTCACCACGAAAGAATAATAAATCTTGAATCCAGGTTTAGCCACAAAGTAGTCGTCAGACTTAAATGTTATTTTAATTTGGTTTGTTCTCGATGTTATCCTGGGAGGAGCTTCCTTGTGTCCGCACCATCGCCCTCTGATAATGGTGCTGGTCTCAGATATGTCTTCAACTTCCACAAAATCATACCTGATATCAATTTAACAAAAATAAAACAAATTCTGGTTAAAGTAGACTCTGAAATTCATACTTTCACCAACAAATGAAAACCAACATAAATGATTTCTTAGGACCTACCAGATGAAATGAAAATTATAACCTACAGACATATTAAAAGCAAAACTAGTTTTTAGATTAGGTTTTCCAAATGCAAACTTCCACAATCTGTTTTGTGAGAATCTTTATACACATTTAGCCATGACTGTTTCCAAATCAGTAAAAGTCAAAGCGGGCAACGTTCTGAGCACCTGGCTTATAAGATTTTCCTGGAAAAATCTAATAACTATAATCTATCATCATATTTGAGAAGATGTAGCTCTAATTATATGTCCAAATATTTATTGTATAAAATTTTTCAAGCAAATTCCTATTTTGAATTAATTTATGACATTCAGTACTTTCTTAAAAAAGGAAATGATCGGTATCTGTAGAGCATATAGAATCTGCAGATAGCACTTTCGTTACACAGAATAAGTCACTACCTTCTCTTTTTGGAAGCTGTCTTTTGAGAGGATAATATCATAAAATGTGACTTTTATCATAATGGATAGCATATTACTTGGGTAGGGATGTGTGCTAACCAGTACTCTAACTATCTGGGCAGGTTACACCATGGTGTGAGTGAGCTCCAGATCACAGGTTCCCCTTCGGCATTGGTCAGAGAAACAGAATGCCAGGATTGAAAAAGACAGGAAAGACCTATTTAGATATTCCATGTAGCCATTCGATCCTTGAGGTCCCTCCATACCATCCGACCTCTCGATCCCATAGTACGACATCTTTAGTGACAGAGTCGACATCTTCTAGGGATCATTTATTCTATTTTCACACACCCAAGATCTTGGAACATACTTGATGCTGAACTGTCTGCCTTTTGGTTCTGGGTATCAGTGTCTCACTCCTCCAGTCTACCTCTCCCCAAATGACTTCTCAATGCAAATGATGAACATTCATAGTGATCAGTGGCAGTGAGGCTGGCTAGGAAGATGCTAGAAAAATTCCTTGGCAAGTGGAATAAACTGAGACAGAAACAGCTGAGCAATTTGCAGCCAGATAATAAATCACAAGGTATTATCTTCCCTAACCAAGGACACTCAGGAGCAAATGGTTTACACATTCCAGACCATTCCAGGGAAGACTCACCTCAGTCCCCATCCCTCTCAGGTGATGGTGACATTCTTTGAAAGTGAAACTGACAGAGAATGACCCCAATCCCTCTATCAGCTCATTTTGATGCATCAGCATGTCCAAGGACACATCTGGAAAGCTGATGAGTATTCTTTTGAGACCTCCCCTAAAATTCCTGCCTTTAGAAAACATATAAAAATCCTTAAGACAAAGGACACAATGAGTGCTGTCCCTGGAGCAGACCAGTGCCCCCACCTTACTTCCTCAGGCGTATATCTTTGCTCTCTTTCTCTTAAGCTCTAAGGGTCCCCATGAGACTTGCAACCAGGGGATCCGTGGGCAGCGGCAGCTCGTCCTGGGCTAACCCCCTGAACCTGTCTCCAAGATCCTTCCTTTTGCCTCTGTAACTTGTTTCCTGAGTCCATGCAGCCCAGCTGGCTCACTTCTTCTGCCTCTGTGACTTTCTTTCTAAAGGGCCAAGGCAGCCTTGCCTCGGCTCCATTCTTCTCATGTTTTCAAAGGGCCAAGGCACCTTGCCTAGGTTCACTCCTGTTGATATAATCTTGCCTCAAAATCACCTGGACTTGTGTCATCAAATCTTTCCTATATGAAGTCAAGAACCTACACATGCCAGACAGTGTCAGGGCCGACCCACCTCAGTCCCTGTCCTTTTCCTGTGACAGCAGCAGTCTCTCAAACATTTTATATTTTTTTGTCACAATTGCCAAAAGGAACCAGCATGAGAGACATCGTGTCTAAATATGAAGAAAATCCAATATGGCTTTACTGGTCCTACCCATGCACCTCGGAGCACTTATTGGGCTGGGCAAGGTAACCTAAGGAGGAGGCAAACATAGTAATACGGTGACTAAATTTTGTTGGCAGTGATTTATGAGGCCCTTATGTCCTTTGCCTCAGTTTCCTTATGGGCAGAATAAGAAGGTTTATACAATTATACCAGCTGGTCAACTCTAGGGCACTGTGTAAACTAATTACCTAAAGTTTATATGGTCCTTGGAAGGTGAAAATAACTAACAAAGAATCATTACTCAAGCAATAAAAGAATACTGTGTGTAAACATCAAGGAGGCTTTCTACCAGATGGTAGAAAAATCAATTGCATTTCATTTTATATACAATATGTGTAAATCATATTTACTGCACAAAGCAGGAGCACACTGGGAACTTTGTTAATAATGCAATAGGTCATTTTTGTTTTTTGAAAACACATCATCAATGTAACTTTTGCTCTGGATCTGATGTCAAGAGAGCAAAGTTTCTTAGAGAGAGTCGGGGGCAAGTCTCTGATCTGTGTCTTTCCCTTCTTCCTCTCTCCTTTCCACTTCTTATCCTCTACCTGTCTCCAGACATTTTAAGAAGCAACTAGATTTGATGTAGGGCCAAAAAAACAAACCATCCTAAGTTCCTCTTCTTCTCTTTTTAAGGCCAAGATGCCAAAAGAGCACACTCACTACCAGGATGGAAAGGCCTGCTCAGTAGTGGAGACCTCGCTTTCCCCTTCCATGTCAACACCTTTACAATCTTTTAATAGTGTTATGTGTTTTTGTTTCCCCTGCTCCCTTCTCCACAATCTTTTTTTCCCGGGCACAGAAAATTAGTTCTTTCTTTCAAGGTTGAAAAGACACAAGATCTGCTCCAGTTCATTCTCTTTGTAAATACTGCCTGCCTCTTCCGGCGTGTATCTGAATCGGTTTTCGGGCATGCATTACCCTCTATGGTCCTAGAAAGTAATAGTCACTGCTATTATTCTTGGAAAAAATAGCAACATAATAAAAGCTGTCATCATAATAAACATGCAACAAAGGGTGGCCAAATTTGAGGCACCTTCTTTTTATTATTCAAAGGAAAGCAAACCTACTGGAAGGATTTAGCAGTTCAGTAGTTGTTGGCAATGCGGAGCAAGTGTGTGCCGTTAACTGCAGAAAGGGAAGAAATCCTCCCCGAGTCTTATACATGCTAATTAAGTCAATAAGATGCTGTGAGCAGACAATTTCAAAAACAACAGCCAGGGCTTTCTCTGATAAATATGCAAAAAAGGGAGATTATCAGCCCCTACTTTCATCTTCCAATGCTGGCTCAGAAGCTGCAGGAAACAGGCCGTCTGAGCACTCAGTCTCTGGGGTGCCTTTTCTTCCTTCTGACACATATCAGGCCCCTTAAAACTAGGATCTCAGGGTCAGGCCCTGACACCGTAGGTCCTGGCCGGCACCCTCTCCCGGGGCTGCACAGGTGACAGCCTGGGTTAGCTCCTGGAGCCAAGGAGGGTGCACACTCTTTACGCTCAAGGCAGACTAGGAGCAGAACCGCAAGACCGGCTGCAGGTCGTCTAGGATTATTGGATGCATCCATCTGCTCGCAGAGGCTGTTCTAGCCTGGCCAGGACAGGGGCCTGCGGAGTCCCTCCTTCTCTGGGGGCCACGCAGCCTGGCTCCGACAATGTGACAGTGGGTTTCCGTGAGTCAGCCAGGTGACGAGACCCTCCCTCCGCGGCAGCCGTCTATGCTCCAATTTATTTTGTCTGCGAGGACTGCCATAAGGCTCTTTGGAAAAGAAGTGGTGCGTCTTGAGCAGGTCCAAAGAGCCTCAAAGGGAAGTTTAATGTGATTTTTTGTGTGTGTGTTGTGTTTTTTTTAATATATCTTTATTGATTTCAGAGAGAGGAAGGGAGAGGGAGAGAGAGAGAGGTAGAAGCATCAATGATGAGAGAGTCATTGATCAGCTGTCTAGCCCGCAACCCGGGCATGTGTCCTGACCGGGAATCGAACCCCGATCACCTGGATCCTAGGTCGACTCTCAACTGCTGAGCCACACCCAGCCGGGCAATGTGATGTTTTTAAATTCATCTTTTTTTCACCTTAGAGGAGTTCTCTAAAATAGATTTTTTTTCTCTCCACTTACCTACAGATATCGTTTTCTGCTTCCTCTAATCCAAACTGGTTGTCAAAGGCCAGCTGTATCCTCGTTTTCTCCTGGGAGTGGAGCCGCCACGTCAAAAGCAGGTTCCTGGGGTAGCTGTTCGGGAATCGGGGACTCTGCAGGTGGCCATTTCCTGTCACCTGGATGGTTTCGTCTCTCCGGTACAAGTCTGTGAGGTGATTGCTCTCTGTTAGTAGTCACAACTTGTAGAAATTAGTATGTTGCTCCAATTACAGGAAAGCAAAAAAACAACAGTTTAAAACATCACATTTCAAAGCACTTCTCGATTTTGTTTTAAAATATAAGACCGAATGGTAACCTTCTGGTGAAACAAACTACACACACACACACACACACACACACACACACACACACACACACACACACACACACACTTCTTCTATTATCCCCCACCTCCCAAATTTCCTCCCAAATCTAAACTTGATGCCGAATACATTGTATTTGAGGATGGGCGGCTCTCTTAACATCATATTTGACAAGTAAAAATGAACAATTATCTCAGAACTCAGGTTCATTTTGATTGGAATTAAAATAAGCAAATAATTTCAAATAGTTCATCCTTCCTCTTTTCAATTTAATGCAAATAAGTGACTTTTTTTTTTTTGACAGGGACAATGTAATAGTGTATCTTCATTGATCAGCATAGGAGGTAGATATTGCTGAATGAATGAAGAAGTGCGTGAAAACAAATTTTAAAAATCTAATGGTGTTTAATGACCATATATTCAAGTGAAATTTTTCAGTGGTTTCTCCATCATAAAAATCATAATTTTTTGCCTTAGTTTCCCATTACTTAAAATAGATCCAATCCAGATTCTATTTTCTGTATGTTGTATAATAAACATTTTGTCTGGTCTTTGTCCTGGGTTCCCGAGAGGGAACTTCTGAACCTTTAGAATTTTGCAATAGACATGTTCTTTTTCATGGTAGACCCCTGGGACACATTATGCTGATGAGGTGACCTACTTCGGACCCCTAAGTAGTTGCAGTTGCAGGACGGGTGCTGGAGATAACAGAAAGGCCAACATGTGATTAGAAGGTTTGGGCTTTGAGCCTTGATATCAGCCTGACCTCCCAACATCCTTGGAGGTAAGAAGCATTGGAGATTGAGTCCAATCACATTGTCCGTGATTCAGTCAGTCCTGCCTACAGAATGACACCCCAGTAAAGACTCTGGTCACTGGGGCGTGGGTAAGCTTCCTGGTTGGTGATATACATGGATGTGCTGGGAAGGGGACCTGTCCCAAGGAAACAAAAGCTTCATGCTTGGACCCTTCCAGACGTGCTTGTCATATGTGTCTCTTTATTTGGCTGGTTCTGATTTGTACCTTTTATAGTAAAGCTGTAATTTCAACTATAGTGCTTTCTTAAATTCTATGAGCTGTTCTAGTGTGAATGAAAAAAAATAAAGAGGTTCTATGGAAAGTGATCTCACAGGGTGACATGATCATAAATTCCTAACTGGGTGGGTCATAGTGGGTAGTCAGGCCTAAGGCCTACAACGTTTTAGTAAAAAGTTTACCTTTGTCTTAAGCAAGGCCTGTTCATCGTTTCTGTGCATCTAGGTTAACATACTTTTGAAATAAGCCATAACCACCCTCAAAAAGCACATCATCTTGTTAAGTATCCTGTAATCTTTAACCCAATCCCCCTTTGCCTTTTCCCACCTCCATATAATCTTCCTTAAATTCCTTCCTTAATTTCAAATGCATAAAAGAAGCTGCAAAACTGTTATTCTCTGGAGCATCTGAGGTCTTGCTCCCCAGCATATGTCTTCAGTTTGGCTCAAGTCAACTCTTAGAAAAATTCTCTACAGGTTTGGACATTTCTTCCATCATCACTAACAAATTCTCAAACCTGACGGGTTTGTGGGAAACCCTGAATTGTAGCCAGTTGATCAGAAGTGTGGGTAGCATGGCGATGGACCCCCAAACTTGTAGCTTGTGTCTATAGTGCAGTCTTGTAGGGACTGTGCCCTTAACCTGGGAAACCTGACCAAACCCTTGGTAGCTTATATCAGAATTTCATTGCACAGTGGATCCATTTTGCATGTCTCCCAATACCCAGAGTCCTTTGCACTTTAAATTTTGGCTTTTTAGGCCCCTCTCTAAGCAGACCTCCAGCCACAGGGAGTGTTTTGCCGCCGAGAATTTACTTTGTGTTCTCCTGCAGAGAATGTACTCCGGGGCCTGTAATTCAGTGGGCCTGGTCAGGAAGGCCTAAATTGCCGACGGAAACCGCTGAAAAGTTGGGCTGCGAGGGTGGCTCTTAAAGTTCCAAAATAAGAGCAGGAGGGTGAGCAATGAATCAGCATGTGAACTGGAAAGTCTTCTCTCCCTTTACAAATGTTCTTGTGCATATGGGAAGCTCAACTTTTTTTTTTTTTTGGACTCAGTCTGTGTTTCATGTGTTGCCCTTGCCCAGTTAAACGCTGTGTGAGACGAAGAGTCCTAAGAAGGGCAAGGTGGCCAAAGGATGTCCACAGGCCCTGCCTGCAGACTAGGGCCCTGGCTCTGCCGTCACTTCACCACCTCCAGCGAGCTCAGCTAAAGACCACCTCACAGGACCCTTTACTCTTCTATTCCCTTGACCTTATGCTGAAAATGGAGCCATGAAAATTACTTATCTGCTCATTTAGTAAATGGGTCAAGGTTGTTTGCTAGGGAGCAGGGAGACCGATGTGAGCAATCAACCAGTCAGTCAACAATCATTTATTAAGTACAGACTCTAATCAATGCATTGCAATATTTTCAACCCTTCTATCTCTTGGTTATTACTTTCACAAGTTTTGCCATATTTTCTTACCTCTAGTACTATTATTTACTTATAATTTCTCTAAATTAATATTTTAAATCAAAAGCAAGTCTATTCTAAAATAAAACTTTATATCAAAAATGTAAATAGCAATTGGACACCGTGTGCCATAAATAGAAAGTAACCATAAATCTAAATATATAACTATTACATTTTAAAATAACCCCATCTAAGGTGTTCTGATTCCTGATTTGTAAAAGAAGAAGACTGATTAGCACATTTTCTCTTTGGTCTCTTTCAGGGGGAATATTCAGTGGTTTTATCTTATTTTACTTTTGTGTAATTTTGTATTTTTACTGTTCTAGAGGCTATGTTAGACTCTAATATGATTTAACAATGTTTAGAGAACAGTTTTCTTTGTAGACCTGCAAAAGAAGTCAATGAGCGCCACACAGGCACAAAGAAATATGAAGTGCTGAGTGTAACGCAGTGTTGATCAGAAGCAGGGGAGCCACAGGGCTGGCCTGGCGAACACAGGTGTGTGCCAGGATCGCAGTAAGGGGACTAACCCGAGCATGGTCCAAGTTGGGGGGCTACATGCTTTAAAGGCAAACTGTGGAAATATTTGAAACGCAGGCAGATATACCTGCATTTAATATAGGTGGAAGCAGGAAAGCTCTGGAAAGGGTAAAAGACTTATCAAAAGGAAGGTTATTAGCCTATTTATGCTGTGAAAGGTGAGCTGGAAGGATAGCACCTGCAGTGGGACTATCTCCTAGGAGCCAGTGGTCCCTCCCGATCTGCAGGAGATACATCCAAGACCCCCAGAGGATGCCTGAAACAGGGAATAGTACAGAACCCTATATATATATATATATATATATATATATACTCTTTTTTCCTATACATACATACCTATGGTAAAGTTTAATTGATAAATTAAACTCAGCAAGAGATGAACAACAATATCTAATAATAAAATAGAATAATTGTTACAATATATCCTAATAAAAATTATGCGAATGCAGTCACTGGTTTCAGGGGACCCCTTGCTGAAGTTTGTGTAGACTCACTGCTCTCTGGTGCAACACGTTGCCATTAATCAGAACACATTTTCTGTTCATGTTTCCACCCATAAATTTAGTGCCTCTTCCATTTTAACTCAGTGCTTATCACATACTGTGGCTATAACTTTTGCAGTTTGAGGTACAGTAGCAGAACTAGCATACATTTCTTTTCTTCTTATGGTTTCACAGATATAAGATTTGTTCTTACTGCAGATCTTAGCAACCTCAGTATACAACCTCTTATCTTCCCTTATTAAGTCCAGAGCTTGAACCTTTCACTTGAAGAAAGCACTTCATGGCTGCTCGGTCACGTATCTGAATTGCCAGCATCACTACTCTTGCACAAGGTCATTACTGAGAAAAATAAGGGTGACTTGAACACAGCACTGAGATACCTACAGTCCATGTGATAACCAAGAGGATGGGGAGTGACGACAGCCTGGAGAGCTGGACAAAGGGACGAGTCACGTCCTGGGTGGGACAGAGCGGGACTCCTGAGATTTCGTCACACGGCTCAGAATAGCGCGCAATGTAAAGCTTGTGAATTGTTTATTTCTGGAATTTTCCTTTTACTATTTTGGGAGCAAAGTTGACCTTGGGTAACTTTCCCTGTAGAAAGTGAAATCTGGAATAAGGGGAAACTATGTAGTTGCTGGAAAACAAGGTTCTGACCTAGAAGGAGAGGTAGCAGTAAGTCTGCATCAGGGAAAGAAACTCAAAAGGAGCCTGCAGTGAAGAAAGTGCCACAGCCTGGCTGGTAGCTCAGTGGTTAGAGCGTCGGCCTGCAGACTGAAGGGTCCTGCGTTCGATTCTGGCCAAGGGCACGTACCTCAGTTGCAGGCTCGGTCCCCGGCCCTGGTCGGGGCTGAGCGGGAGGCAACCAATCGATGTGTCTCTCTTCAGTGTTTCTCTCTCTCTCTCTGTCCCTTCTACTCTCTCTAAAAAGCAATAGGAAAAATATCGTCTAGTGAGGATTAAAAAATGAAAAAGAAAGGACCACAAAGGAGTGAGCCAGAGGCTGGAGCACCGAGCTGATTCGAAGGCCCTGGCCCACCCTGGGAACATGGACACGCGGCGGCACAGGGACGGCGAACGCTTTTGAGGAACTGGAAGCTTGGTTTCCATGTGGCAGTGAGAAATTCAGCTGGAAGCTGCAGCCGGCTTCTGGGAGTATAATGCTGGGCCTGATGTGGGCGAACAGAACAGATGCTGTCGGCTGGAGAGGAAAGGGGAGGCCCCGGGAATGCCCGCGCCCTGAGGCAGTGTCTGTGGAAGGCCGTCTAGGGTGCGGGTGCTGGCCTACGTGCCCGGTGGCGCGGGGGAGAAAGGGCTGCCTGGGGAACCA